GGATCAAGTACCCCCTACAGTTCTTTTTTAGTTACTAGAACTCTCGTGTAAGTAAACTATACTAACTAAGCATCTGTCAGTACAACATACTATTGCTATTTCACTTTACTTAGTTTTTTCAAGGCAATCGGTTTGCATGCTTTTTTTAAGTAAGCCCAACTACCGGTAATTAGATTTTATAGTGTATAAAGAAAAAGTATACATTTATGGCTAAATGGCTTTGAAGTCTTGTGTATTATAGCGGAGTAATTTCAATAACCATCCTTGTCGTCAAACTTCTTAATCTTCTTCTCATTTCTTCCTCTGTTCCTTTGCTTTTTGTTTTGCTTTCTATATGAAGATGGCACAGAATTTAGTTCTAATAATATAATACATAAACATATACACTATAATTGGTTGTATACATTCAGTAGTAGCGTAAAAGTGATGTATATCTCACCCTTTGCCCTTCAATAATCTCTGTCCTTGCCTATCATTTGGATCCAAACACACCTTTAACCTCCTGTTAACCTCCTTTCCTTTTCCCTTTCCTTTTGCAATCACAGTCAATCTAAGATCGGGAGGAAAAGACAAGAAACAAAAGCAATTGTTTTATTGCAATTGCCGGCTTGCAATTGTTAATTACAGTGCTCATTAATTATATTGAATCTCTAGAAGAAATAAAGATTTATAAACATTATCTTGTAATATAGGACTCATAGTATGCATACGTACATAATCTCTGTCTTTGAGCAAGAGGGACTTGGTGGGAACAATTCAACTGCACGAATCCATCTGGGCTTCACTGCTTTCGGCAGTTTGCCTCTGCATAAGCAGCGTTGTGATAACCCCCCTGCTTGCCCTATGACACAGTTAAGTTTAAAGACTAATGTACACAACAGATCCAAAGCAGGAAAACTATTGTTCCAAGCCGGTAATCACTGATTGGATTGACAGACAATAAACCTCATACAAACACACGAATAAGGAGATATTTGTTATGATGCATATTGTATATGTTTAACAGAAACACTTCATTCAATCAATGACATTAACAAACATCTCTGGAATACTTCATTCTGACTGGACAATCACTGCATTCTGTGGTCAAATATTTTTGTATAGCGACTGATAAACTGCAGAATTTTTCAATAAGGACTGTAGATTATTCATTACAGTCCATTTAATGTTTAAAAATGTCATACTTTGATGCATATGTGTTCATATACTTTAATGAAACACGAACTGCTGATCATTTTAAGTTTTACTATTTTCTTTAAAAAGAAACTTTGTTCAGACACCTTCCTGGACAACAATCACCTTTAAAAAAAAAAAGTTTTTTGTAAATTAAATCATTCTTTTATACACATGTTAACAATGTGCGTTAAAGGGTTAACTAAAAGGCTTTACTAATTGTTCTGTGCATATATGATGCAAATGTAAGACAATAGACAATAGATATCAGCTTACCTGCAGAGTGTGTAAGAGTCACTCCAAACACCAGAGCACACAACAGTGTGCGAACAACCTGATTCATGATTCACCTCACAGGCAGCTCCAAAGAAATGTTTCCTTCGTTTGCAGTCCGCTCCTTATATAGCACAGACTTACTTTCATTTTCCAATCTTCCAATGAAATGTTCTCAACAACACATCCATCATCCTTGAGGATAAAGTTGCATGGCTGGAACAGAAATGACCACTTGTTTTAACATTTGAAAGAAATCTGCATTTAAAAGTCACTAAAGACTATGTAGAGAGAAAGACAGCACAAAGAACACATCATCATTATTATTAATATTTATTTCTTTTGCTTTAGGCAAGAAGAAAGAATACATTTTTTGCCAGTCAGAATAAACCTTTTCTAAACCAAGCTTTTAGAAGTGAGTGTTGTTAAGTGAGTGATTAAACAAGGTCTTATAGTCAAACATTAACTTTCACCACCATCAAATTAATGATAAAAACATGTGCTTAGCATTTGATTGGTTACTTAGTTTGTAATGTTTGCCTTTTGGGAAGAGACTGTATTTCCTCAGAGTATTTAATTGTGTTGAACTTAACTTCACTGTGCAGAGAACAGAGGATTTAAGATTTTTCTCTGTTTTATTGGTCATATGTACAAATAGTAAAACCTAATATTATTAGTGGTGTGTGTGTTACAGATAGGAGTGATCAAATCATGTGGCGTGTTATGAAAAAGAAGTGAACAGATTTAAAAAGAAACAAAAACTGAAATGCAACTAAAATGATTACAAATTATGTAATTAAGACTCTTCCTTGAAAACAAAGCCAAAATATCAAACTTGGTCACTTATAACCAGAGGTGTAAAGAGTACCTAAAAACCATACTTGAGTAAAAGTACAGATACCTTACAGTAAAAATTACTCCACTACAGGTTACAAGTCACCAATTCCAAAACAACTTGAGTAAAGGTCTTAGAGTATCTGATTTTAACAGTACTTAAGTATTTTACTTATACTAAATATAGGCTCAAAAAATGCACTAGTCAAAGAGACATGCTAGTTAAAAAAACTGTAATGTTGTGGAGAAGCTGGGGAAAAAGACAGAGGCAAGGATCTATGTGTAGGTATTTAATGGAAAAACTAGAACAAACAATAAGCCCAAAGCCAAAAACCAAAGGGAACAAGGAACAGAATGACTGGCAAACAGACAACCATTACATTCAACAACTCGCAAGGAACTAAAGAAAAACTAGGGCTATATATACACACAGGGGGCTAACAAGCTTAAAGTGAAGTAAAGAGTAAAAGTTGCTAATATCTTTGATACTCAGTACAACTACAAAGTATCCAAAAAGATACTCAAGTACAGTAACTAATTACATTTACTCCAATACTTTACACCTCTGCTTATAACTGAAAGCATTTTTGTATTAATGCACTGAATATAAAACACCACTTCAGCCAGACGTATATGTTTTTCGTACATCCAGAGATATTACATACTGTATGTGACATCAAATTAATAACAACAAGGTCCAGTGTTTGGACAAGAGGAATGATTAGTGATCAGTAATAGAATAAATATGTACTCTATAATCATGTAGTAACATGTATGCTTTCATTTAATTTTCTACATTCATTGAATTTCTGAAAGCAAAATGATACAATGTAAAAATGTGAGATTTGAGAAGGTTGAAGATTTCCTGCATCTCAAAAGAAGGTCACAGTCATAAAATGTGGCCTCTTTGTTTTCTTTTCTGTTCCTTTCTTGTGAAGATATGGGAAAATTCAGTTCAGTCCCTGTGCCAAGGTTATTGAGGGGAGTGGATGGCTTAAGAACTGAACTGAAACTGGCACTGCGATGAAATGGCCAGAATGGTTCTGAATTAACTCTAGAAATGAGCTGGCTTAGAAGTGAGAAATATAGAACTGTATTTATAGAATACCGGTACTTAAAATTAGGGAGCTGCAAAAATGAATGAGTGTAATTAGTCTGAAGCAGGGTTAGGGTTAAGATCCAGGCAGAAAAATGTGTAACAAAATTCTGTTTAACAAAACCAAAAGGGTAAATCTGATACAGTATGTGTATGCCAACACAAACAGCCAGTGTCATTGAGTAAACTAAGCAAACAAGCCAATAAACGTAACCCCAGGAATCAAGGACAATGGAACAAAGCACATGAGCAAAAGATCATAGGACAGAAAAACTAGGAATTAGTCAAATAAAATTCTGCATAAAAGAAGGGAAATGCAGCTGTATTGTAGATAATCACAGAAATGAACAAAGAGGAGAGTCAAAATATGATAGATAGATAATTAAATAAATAAATGTTTTTTTTTCTGTATGCCTACAACCAAAATAAATTCCTTGTACATTGTATATTAATACATGACAAATAGAATCTGTGTTCTAACTAATGCAATAGTTCTAATACTAGGAAAAGGTAGCAAATATTTAGACCTATTTATGATTAGATCTATATATTTAGAACAAAGACTATAGAAACATCTAGACAAGTTACTAAATTGTGACAGGACTTAGAACCAAAATACTGCCGATGGCGCTCTCTAGTGGTGAATCTACATATTTGTAAAAATGAGCTATGGTGAAATTATTTGACGTTTATGAGAAATTAGCCTATAGTGTTCCCACCCTGTTAACTTTTCTGCATGCCTTCATCATTTATTTTTGCTACTTTTTACCCTGGTTCCAGATCCAGACCTTCTATAAACTATAATGGTGTTAACAAACGTGAAATAAACATTTTGCACACAATTGCACTCAATTTTAATATGATTTTACCCCAGTTTGTTGAAAAAATATGTGAAATATTATTTAATTCTGTGCAGTTAGGAGGATATATAAAATGCTGGCTATCGAAATTAGTCTAGCAAAGCAAAGCAAAGGAGACAACCACTGTATTGCAAAAATGTTTAAAATGTCACATAATCTATGGTAGAAATAACACTGTTGGTAAGCTTCATGAGTTTTAGTTAATGACCGAATTTTCTTGTGGTGCATACATGTCCACTGTTTAGTAGACAGTTAAACAAACTAGAAGCATGTAAAGTGCATTTAAGAGTATTTTAGTTATTTTTCTGAGAAATAATAAAGCAAGAGTACATTTCTGAGAAATAAGAATTAACAGGCCCACAAGTCCATTCTAACCGAAGAAACGCCCATCTTTTTCCTGATTGGTAAGAGCTGCTTTCAGTTCTTTAAAATTGAATCCTGCATATCTCAGAAATTGCTGTTCGATTAGTTGCTGCTCAGTTATATAACAACATGATAGAAAAGTATGGAGTCAAAATAATGCCACATATATATGCAAAATAATAAAGTTTTGCAAAAGAAAATAAAGTTTTGCAAACGAAATACTGTTGTGAAGTACGGTTTGTCCTCCCGCTGTATTGAGGTCAAAGTGGAATGATGCTGTTGTTCCTTTAAATGCTCTCACCCAGCTGATGATCTACGTCACAGCATATGACCCGAATTACAATATCATTTTATTTCTTTATTGTTTTGGCCGCGGATTTAGGAACAACACAGACCACAAGCGTCGAGTCGTAGTGTATAACTGTCCAAAACAGTCCTGAATAAACATGAGCTAGTTTCCACTGAGAGCTGAATGCAGTGCGAGCGGAGGGTTGTGTTGACGCAGAGCGGTCACATGAATTTGAACTGAAGATGGCGGACCACAGCTCAGGAACATCGGAGCAGCACAGCAGTGAAGTTTCAGAAACTTTAGTGTCATCTAATGAATTTCTCAAACCCCACATGCAGGACAGCGATGGACATACAGCCAACAGTCCAGAGGAGTCGCTTTCTCCTGCCTCGGTGATTTACTTTAAGGAGGCGCTAACTTATAACTCAAGTATACAGTTTACAAAGACAAGCTGCTCTTCTCTTCCTGCCCCAGTGCGATATGAATTCCAGATTGAGAAGACTAACAAGAAAACAAGAAGTGAGTATATGTTATGGTCGGCTGCACATGGGCTTATTTGATAGGATCTGATAGTGTTTGCTTCTCTTGAACACAAGCCTTATGTTTCAATGTTAACAACATTGCACAATGACAGCCACTCCGACGTTTATGCAAGTTTGCAGCTTCTGTCTTTCTTGGATTGGTGTTTTGTGTTTAGTTTTTTTTTTAATTTATGACTTTTAATTCATAAGTCAATAATAACCCACAGCTAGCACAAACTGTCTACTACACCAGGGGCCCGTTCTTCGTACGTCGCTTATTACATCCGAGATGAAATGTCACATCCAAGATGATATCGGGCTAATCAGGATCTGGCTAATTCGGTTCTTCGAACGCATCTGCTGTTGATGATTAGTATGGCTGGATTGAGTTATCGAAGATAATTGCGTGTTCATGGGTTGGTTTAAAAGGGGCTATGTATCGATACTCGAAACCACGATCAGCAATGCAGCGATTGGCTGGCGGCAAGACAGCCACGTAATGACATCATATAATTAATAAAGACACCTGACGAAAAACTTGACAAATTTTTGGACTTTTATAAGAAAGAAGCAATCAGTTGTAGTATTAAAACAACTAAAAACAGATCCAAAACTAAAAGCTAAAACTTTATAAATACTACCTATACACATTTTAAAAATAAAGAGATTAAATAAAAATGACAAATGCATACAACAAAATTTCAAAACTGATAAGAAAAGTATAAGAGGTATAAGAGTATAATAATGATTCTAACACAACACTAAGGCAAACACCAGAAAAACAACAACTACATATGTGTATGTACAACCACATACACATACATACATATATATATATATATATACAACAAATACACAAAATAATGTTCTTTTTAGCAGCATCATATGACCCCTTTAAAGTGTACAAATAGGATCATCTCCTAATCCTTGAGCTGATGCTCCCCATGAGAAATATTACTGGTTGAGTGTGCGTCCTTGCTATTATTATGGTCAGATTTGGCTGATTCTGAATAGCAAGTGAGCTGAGCTGCCTACCTTGCCCACAATTTTGGCCATCATAGTCATGTAAATGACTGGAATGCACATAATGATGCCCAAAACTGCTTTCTGTGTAGGTTGTCACTTGATTTTCTCTGTTTTTTAAACATTCTTTTGGCGTATAACAGAGATAATTTTTGAACCATTTGAAACGTTAATTAAGGTCTCTTAAAAGCATATTTTGCAGTTTGTGCCGTGATCTTACATCCAAACCAATCATGATTCTGTATGACTGTCCTTTTCATAAATATATGTATTTCAAAAAGTATGTCAAATGAGTAGGATGTCTAAATATGCAGTATTCATGAAACCGTATGCATTCTTGCCTGCTGAGATTTCTGTGTGCAAGTGTGCAACCAGTTTGCTATCCCATAAATCCACAAGAGCCGAGTAGCTGTCAGATCTGTGAAGCTCTGTGAGTCCCGCAGTTTTTTTTCATGGTTAAATTGTACTTGTTTAACAACACCCAGGTAAATTATTTTCACAGTTTTTCTTAGTACATCACAGGTCAAAGAACATACTGGTTGAAGGCTGATAGTGAAATACCAGGTACATCTGGAAAATGTACCATTCTATTCAGTTGCAATGGACTCTTGTGCAGCTTTTTTAAAAAGCGTACATTTTGAAGAAATTAAAGATTGGATATGATTTTATTATTTTTGTGGAAAAAGTGAAAATGAAAACACTATATATATATTTTTTTCTTTTGTGATTGCTTGCTTCCGAGGGTTAAATCAGACTCATACAGCCCATTTGTCACACTTTGTGAATTATTTAGCAGTGCAGTATAATGGTTCAATATCTGTAATGATATATCTTGCTAAGAGCTGCATCACTGAATGATGTGACATCACCACATTATTTTGGTATTTTCATTTACATGCATTGAAGTTTTAGAGATACACTACCGTACAAAAGTTTGGGGTCTAAGATTTTTTTTTTTTTTTAAGTCTCCATTGATATGATCAATAATACAGTAAAACTGTAATTTTGTGAAATATTACAATTTAAAAAAACTGTTTTCTGTATTATTATATTTAAAAATGTATTCTTGTGATGGCAAAACTGAATTTTCAGCAGCAATTACTCCAGTCTTTTATATTTTAATATATTTGATGCTCAAGAAACATTTCTTCTTATTATTAATTGTGAAAACATTGTACTGCTTAATATTTTTGTGCATTTTTTTCAGGATTATTTAAAGAAAAAAAAGAACGGCATTTATTTAAAATATAATTTCTTTTGTAACTTTACAAATATCACTTTCAATTCAATGTGTCCTTGCTCAATTAATTTCTTTAAAAAAATCATACTGACCCAAACATTTGTCCGTAGTACCTTGATAGTTATTAATTGATAGTTTTCAGTGCTTTTGTCTTGTAAATAATAAGATTTGAATATTAGATTACTGCTAATATTCAAACCCCGTTTTACATGACTTTGCATATGAGGTTCTTCTCTTTTCAAAGGAACTTTCAAAATGTGATCGTTTTTACAGAGTATCCATCAAATTTTTTCATCACGTTTGTTTCATACACGGTTTAATATGAGTGGCCAGTTTGCTCCTTCTTTATCAGCAATGTTCTGGTTCTCAATCAGTAGTACTTCCATCCTTCTCTTGTGCGACATGTGGATCTTTGACAACAGCTCCCCCCTGCATCTGACAGGCCTCTCGGGAGCTGTGCCCCCCTCCACCATCTGCTCACGTGATTCCCACAATCCTCCTCAGCATCGCGGCAGCCATCTTGGCCAACACCCTCCCATTTGCAGTGCATGCAGCCAATCCGGTGAAAGCAAGCGTCTGGGCTGTGAGGGAGGGACTGAGCGAGAGAAAGAGACATCTCTGATTGTAGCTCCGCTGAGGCTCACACAGCATCTCAATCCCCTGGCTGTGCTGAGCCAGAGAGCACTGAAGCCTTTATTCACACGGAGGATTTTAGCTGTCGCTGCTCATTCACTTGGCGAGGCCATTGAGTCCCAGAAGAATAGCATCCTTTCGGCCAGGTTTGCCGTGGACTGCTTGTTTATTTTTTCCCTTCTTTCTTTGTTTTCCTTGACTGTTTTTTCTTTCTCCTTTGTGCTGGAGAAGACTCTTGCTTGGACTGGATCGTTATTCCTATTCCCTGCTCCTGACTCTTCACTGAGGGCCGTCATCGTAAGTGTTGTTGTCGTCGCAGCAGCTATCAGCTGAGTCACCATGTCTGATCTGACTCCCCAGAGCGAAGCCCCCACCCCCACTACAGACAAGATCACACAGGCTGCCAGAGAGACCATCTACCTATGCAACTTCCGTGTGTCGGTGGATGGCGAATGGCTGTGCCTGCGCGAGCTCAACGACATCTCGTTAACGCCAGATCCCGAGCCGGCTCATGAAGGTAGGCGCACAGCATCACTAGGCCTCTGTGGCTTCTATCGTACTGGGCGGTGCTCGCCCAACCTTCCACCATCATGCTCTCAGCATTCCCGCAGGCCTGCTTGGAAATGTAGTTTTTATGGAGAACAAGTATTTGTTTCTCACTGAGTGGTTTGAGAGAAGCTATTCATATCCTGTTTTATTCTAATTCAATTATTGTCACATTGAACAAATTGAGTATGTGCACTGTTCGGAAAATCCCTCCAATAAACAAACAAAAAAAAGTTTTTGACAGACTGTTAGACTTTTAGTGTCATTGACTGTAAGACAATTTGGATTGTTGGTCATAATTTTTTAAACAATACTTAACACCAAAAAAGCTGACACTAAAAAGCAATGACTGTAAAGATAACTACATTAGCATACACACCAACAGAATATAATATTTGGTTCTTGTTATTAGTGCATGCTGCAGTTATGTTCGAGCTCTTTAAAGCAGGATGAATTCTGATTGGCTGACAGTGTTTTTATTCTTCATCATCTGGAAAACAGTCATTCTGAACGTGATCCCAACGATATTGTTCCTCTGTATCATTATAGCTGTGGTGTGGACTTCCCTATTATTAAACCTTTATAGTTATCGTGCTTGGTGTGAATGGGCCTTTAACAAATGACTTAATATTGTTTGAAATGTTATTTTTCTCTGTTGAGTTTAATAAAAATAAAAGGCATTTTGCAAATTTGCTTATCATTTGGTTTTCATTTATTCACTTTTCTGAAGAGAAAAATAAGGCAATAAATTGTTTTCTAGAATAGTGATGGTGTCAGACCTCAATTGTTTTGCTAATCCAGTGCATTACTGGAGAGTCACGGCTTATCGTGCCAAAGGTTAAAAGGTTAACATCATATAGACACAGTACTGTTGCCCTGGAGACAGGCCTGGGATTCCCACTCAATCAAATGTCTTGAAGTTATGTGATCAACTGGCAGTAGAGAAGATGCAGCCAGGGCCACTAACAACAACAGTTTAATCGAATGTATTTTATCTTCATTGGGCGAGCAGAAAACAGGCATGTAGAAAGACAAGGAATAGAAAACATTATCTGATAAGGTGTTTACAGAGTCATCCTCTGAGATGATTATATACTACAGAAGTAGTTGTTTGTTGGTCAAGCATTTTCACGAATTGCATCACCTTTGGACTGGTGTGATAAACATCTGATATTTTTAGTGTCACATCGGCCCCCAGGGTTCAGAGCCAACAGAAGTTAAGACAGTACTATTTCCTCTCCGGTATTTTTTTCATAGACGTTTTACAACAAATATTCTCTTCAATTAAGCCACTGCATATCAGTCAGTGCTGATTAGTTGCCATTTTGCCCTTGATCTGTTTCACTGCATGCAGATGTTCTTTGTAGTATTTGGTGTGCTCTGCCTCATTAAGTGTCACTTATGGTTTTATTTCATTTTTGTTTCTTCTTTTCCGTCTCAGCCAAGCGACATAGAAACTCTATGAATAAAAAGAAATCTATCATGATTTACTCGCCCTCGTGTCGTTTCAAACCTGTGTGACTTTCTTCTGTGGAATAGGGCTGTCAAAATGGCTGAAAAACTACATTCGAATTTTGTACTGAAATATTATCAATATTCGAATATAAAATGCATAATTTCAGTTAGGGTGAAGAAAAGCTTTTCGGGAAAACCCCCCGCCATAAAGTCTCTATGTTTTTTTTTATTTTCAAAGTTAAACTTGCATTAATTTTAAATTTCTAAACATGCAGCTATTTTGTGCGAGATGCGAGTGCAACGGTGATAGATGTCCCTCTAGAAAAAATGCGCGAAATATGCGTTCTGTGTGAATGGCTTGGTTTCAGTTTTGTCTCCGCATTGATGTTCACGAAAAACTTTCTTTCATGTTTTACAGAAGAGAGAAAGTCATACATGGAAGTTTGGAACTACGTGTGGTAAAAGATTATTTTTTGTTTGTTGCTGTCCCTTTAAAGCTGTCGTGGAATGAATCTAACAAAAAAATATTCCAGTGCTGTGGATAAAAAGGAAATATTACATTCTTTCCTGAGGCCTTCTGTCAAACAAATCGGTTTAGATAAGTTGCCACTAGAGTCTTGCAGGACAAGTAGAGCATTGTTTGAGCTCCTTCTAGTGTAGTCAAATTACTTCATAGTTAGTAACTGTCTTCTGATCCAGATTTGCTGACATGTTATAATAGTGGCTCTTAATGACCATCAGCACTCAGTTTGCTATTAATAGTCTCTGTTGTAGTGCTTCTAAAGTCATCCACTAAAGTAAGATTTGCGCAAATGTATGAGCTTGGCTCTGTAGATAAAAGTCTACACACTCAAATTTCCTACAACATAATGTGCATTCCCTCTTGTTGTTGCTTTGGTTTACTCCCATGATGTGCATGACCCAATCCTTTACTGCTTTTTTTCTGTTTTCCATTGCCTTTTGCAAAGACTCATGGGAGGATTTCACAGATTTGGTGGAGCAAATGCAAATGCTTGATGAGTTTAAAGGTGCGTATGGTGGCATCACTCCCTCCAGTCCACCTCATCCCCGCCTCGGGCACCATCCTAAAACCACAGCTGCATGGCCGTGCAGCCCTGTCTTTACCAAACCAACCTCCCTGAACGGCACATTCGCACCACAGCTTCTAAAGCTTTACCTCTTGTGCTCATGTTCTTTTGTTCTCTTTATTTTTCTTCATTTTTCATTATCTCCCTTCCTATTGGTTTGATGTTTCCATCAATAGCTTTGTCTCTGTGACTTTTTTCGCTAGCTCTCTTTGTAGCTAGCAAAATATTTGGCTACCCATTTGGCTGGATTGCTCTTGTCTGGCCTGTTTTTTTTTTGGCTGTTTCCCTGCCCCACCCCATTCTCTGGCTGATTTGGCATGTCGCATGGTTTTACTTGCATTTCATACTATCATTGATCGATTTATTCCCTGTAGAGACATTAAACATTAATGATTCAGAGACTTCTTATGCACTAAAAAACACACTAAAATAATCTGTCCTTACAGTGAAATAGTTTGGTTTCTGTAATTTGTATAACCTTTGCATAGGCATGAAGCTATAGCTTGTCTTATTCTTTGCTGTGTGACTCTGCAAAGCTACAAGGTCTTTAATACCTGGTGAAAACGGATTTTTAACAGTAAAATCTTTTGGTTTTACAATTAATTTCAAGGTCTTTGAACAACTTCATTCTTCTTGTTGCATTAACAATTCAATATTATTTTATAAGTAATGACCATTTAAAATAAACTTCCATCAAATAAAATGCCATCATTTTTCATTTTAAAAGTCAGTGTACTGTGGAAAAATGACCCACTGCCTCCTGGATCATTTCTCCTGTCTCAACACCTGAAAAGTAATGAGATTTTGGTGCAATGTAAGTGCAATGAGATGGGAAGCTTGACTAAATGCTAAATGAGTCCATCATGGCCCATTTGTAAAATCAACCCAATTGATTTTAAAGGGAAAAAAACCTATACCAGCCTTTCTATTGCCCAGCACTGTCCTCATGAAAAAGGTCACTGCTATTCGTGAACAGACATGGATTGAGAGTCTTAATGATGAAATGATTGCATTACTGTGGGTGTGTTTTGGTTTAGACAGGGTGAGGCTTGAGAACTCAAACTCGAAATTCAGTTCAGTAAAAACAGATTTACTGTAGTGATTGATTTACTCTTGTGATTAATTGTAAGGTTGAATTGAGATTATCCTGAAAACAACAGCTTTCAAAACAATCATCTGTTCATTTTTATCTGAAAATGTCTCCTGAGGAGCATGATTGAGGTGGGATGAAATCTGTATGCGTTTGATGCATTTCACATTGCATCAACTACAATTTCATAAGTCTTAGCCAGACATAGATGTAACCACGTAGCCACAGTCAATGGGAAGTTCTCAAGAAGCCTTTCTCTGAGAAAACCCTCATATATTGCTTATATCTCATGCTCAAACCTGTTAAATACTGTGTAGAAAAATTCAGAGTTAGAGAATGATGTTTTAATTCATGCTTGATTTTTTTGATTTCCAGATCCCAAGGATCCCATTGCCATCGAGAGGCTTAACCTGATGAACATGGCCAAGCTGAGCATCAAGGGCTTGATTGAGTCTGCACTGAACCTGGGTCGCACACTGGACTCAGACTATGCCCCACTGCAGCAGTTTTTTGTCGTCATGGAGCACTGTCTGAAACACGGACTTAAAAGTAAGCGCAACAAATCCCAACCCAAATTCTGCTGTCCTTAGAGTATTCGCTGGTCCTCATTTATATCCTTTACGCAATAATCATCTGCTCATTAATTTAGATAATTACTGATTGCACAGTATTTTGGTATGTAGTGTTTATTCAGTCCGTTTTCATTTTTTTCCTAAACATTTACATTTTTTTTTTTTAGGTAAGAAGACATTCCTTGGCCAGAATAAGTCTTTTTGGGGTCCTCTGGAGCTTGTAGAAAAGTTGACTCCAGAAGCTGGTGAGATCACAGCCAGCGTCAAAGACCTTCCTGGGCTCAAGTAAGAAGATGTTTTCAACTTGAACATGTTGTTGTTGGTTTTTTTTAATGCATACTGTGTTTCTGATTCTAAAGTTGTTCTTTTATCCCAGAACCCCATTAGGAAGAGGCAGAGCATGGCTTCGTCTGGCCTTAATGCAGAAGAAGCTCTCAGACTACATGAAGACCATCATCAACCGAAAAGACCTACTAAGGTACAATTACAGCTTTTGGTCTCTAGTATAAAAGCCGTAATTGTGATTTTGCAACCCAGTTTTGTAAATGTCTTATATTTGATGTTGTTGTGTTCCTCAGTGAATTCTATGAGCCCAATGCTCTTATGATGGAGGAGGAAGGAGCTGTCATCGCTGGGCTGTTGGTGGGCCTGAATGTCATTGATGCTAACTTGTGTATGAAAGGGGAAGATTTAGACTCACAGGTATCTGTTAGTTACTGTACATGAGTAATGAAGGAACCGCAAATGATGGAACAAAGCGTTATCTTTGTTACATTTTCTTTGTCCTTTCAAGGTTTTTCTCCAAAGTGTGCTGGCCAAAAGGCGATACAGGGTAATAAGATCTCCTCTACTCTCTTAATAGGTTGGAGTCATAGATTTTTCCATGTATCTGAAAGATGGCGCGCACAGCAGCAAAAGCACAGAAGGGTGAGTCCATTTTCAACTCCCTCAATGGAAGCTAATTGTTGTAGTCTGACAGTTATTGGACTGCTCTTTGCTTGCAGTGATGGACAGATTACAGCTATTCTTGACCAGAAGAATTACGTTGAGGAACTGAACAGACATTTAAGGTGCAGTCCCTTTACCCAACATCAGACTTGTGGAGTGTGTTTGTGACTAGCTGCTCATTTGGAAAGCATGAGCAATCTCACATTGTCACTCTAAATTCCCCTTTCCCAGTGCGTCAGTGAATAACTTGCAAGCCAAAGTGGATGCACTGGAAAAATCCAACACAAAACTTACAGAGGAGGTGGGTAGTAATTATAATTTAATGGATTACTGAAGATGTGGTAAATACAAGAGCGTAATAAACAAGAGACAAATGATTTACATAACTGATAGATAATTTACATGTTAGCAGAATTGAATTCACATGATATATTTATGCACACAGCTGTGTATACACTACTGTTCAGAAGTTTTAGGTCAGCAAGATTTTTAAAATGTTTTTCAAAGAATTCTCTTATGCTCACCAAGGCTGCATTTATTAGATCGAAAATATAATACCATGAAATATTATTACAATTGAAAATAGCTATTTTATATTTTAATATATTTTAAAATGTTATTTATTCCTGTGATGGCAAAGCTGAATTTTCAGCAACAAATAAAAACCTGTTGTAACACTTCTTGTTTGTAACATTTTTGTAACTTTACTGTCTTATCTTTACTATTACTTTTGAACAGTTTAATGCATCTTTGTGATTAAAATCATTTTTTCCCCCAAAAAATAAGTGAAAAAGTGTGGTTATGTGGTTTATTGACACAGCTTGTGGAATTTAGTAAAGTAACGAGATAACTAGTTGTGAATACATGCTAGTAATGATTTCTTGTTCCAACTGCTTGTGCATGTGTTCTTGATATTTAGCTTGCTGTGGCAAACAACAGGATCATCTCTCTGCAGGAGGAGCTGGAAAGGGTGAAGGAGGAAAGCTCTTACGTAGTGGAGTCTAGTCGCAAGGTGAAGAACATTTTTGATCCCACAGTGCTGATTGTTAACAATCATTCAATAGAACAACATTGATTGTTGCTCATTATTCAAAAGTAAGCCTCAAGCTCATAGTAGTTCTTTGCTCTCATATTTGACCTGTATTTCTCTTGAAGGCATCAAGGGCAGATGGTACCGCAAACGGTCAAGTGTTTGGAGAAACTCGCAAACAGCTCAAAGAGGAAACTCAGCTCAGACTGGCGAGTATGCCATTAATGTGTATATCGTTCTCTTTATCTTCAAATTCATCTCTGATATGGGGTCTTCAAAGAATCGAGTCAGTGTTCTTTCGATTAGAAGTCTGAAGAACCTGAATCCTTGAGTGTTAATACCTTGTGTATTATTTGTGTGTTTGTGTAGGATGTGGAGAAGGAGTTGGAGGTGCAGATAGGGATGAAGCAAGAGATGGAGCTGTCCATGAAGATGCTAGAGAAGGACATCTGTGAAAAACATGATGCTTTGGTGGAGCTCAGACAGCAGTTAGATGAAATGCGTACACTCAACCATGAGCTCTCCATTAAGTCACATGTAAGCTTATGCAACTTATTCAGTTATATTTTTGAATAACTAAACCTGGCTCTCGCCATAAACATAGCCACAGAGGCTGACATGCCGTTAAAAAAGGAAGAAAACAGTCACAGGTATGAAAGAGAGAGACACATTTCCATTAAAAAAAACATGCTTCTCACAATTCACAGATTTCACACACGGAAGCTGCTTGTAAGCAGCATATATTTATTTTCCCTCCCCATTTTAAAAGGTTACACTATGGTGGAGTGACAACGAAGTGATCTGATTTGACAGTGCCAAAATAAAGAAGCAAGTAGAGTAGACTTGTGGTGCCGAGTCACCATAGCATGTTTAAATTTCAGGAATTTCTATTCATCTGTCTGAATCCTGCTGTTGCTTCACTGGGCTTGTATGTGTAGAACTACAGTAGTACCACTTATCTAATGTAGCAATTTATTTTTGATGCTGTGTGTTTGTGTTTGTGTTTGTGATTGTTGTCTGTGTTTTTCTGGCTTGTAGAGCTCAGAGGCCGGTGCAAAACAGAAAAGTGACATCATCAGCCGCTTGGAGGAGAAAACAAACCAGATGGGGAGCATTATTAAACAGTTGGAGAGCAGGTAAAGGAGTCTTAACTACATAAACACAGCATTTACACATGACATGTACACTGCAAAACAAAGAATGGGGTTCAAAAGTCTGAGAGCACAAGTGAAAATGCCTCTTCTAATTTCAATAAACAATATATAACATAGGAGCATATATACTGTATGTACACAATATTATCAATTAATATTGACCTATACTAATAAATGCTTTAAAAGTTAGTTACATTTACATTTATAGTTTAAATCATTTTTAAAGTTAACAAATTGAACCTTAAAGCGTTATACAACTAAATTGTTATACACTTTTTATTGCAAATGAAAAATTAGATTTTGAATCATAGATTTTATCTGTGAACTTTTGAATCTTACCGTATATAACTAATTTTCCAAAGGAGGTTATTGTTCAGGATGGGCAGATTTCCTTAATCGGTGAATGATCATAAATACAGAGTGCAGATCACATATATATAGAGCACAAATAAGACAAGTCCACTCTTTCCTGTTTCAGTTCTGTTGCCAACCTGTTGGAGGCAGCAACGTGTGTGTTTCTACAATAACTTCTGCTCTCCGTCTCTGTCTTCTCTCAAACACTTCTTTGCTTTTTCCTGTTCATTTGACATTTTTCACATGCTCATTCTCTTGTGTTTCTACACCTTTTTCCTGAGCAGTGAGAAAGACATGGCTAAACAGGCACGAAACTTGAACACAGCTGCAGGAAAACTCCTTCAGAGGCAGCAATAAAATGATCGCAGACACTAGATAGTTTACAACAAAAAAAAACTAAAAAAAAGATCTTCAGTTTGATTTTGCATAACATGGATGACTAGGGTGTTTATTTTATTACTGAGTTTCAGATCCATTGCTGTTATTCTGTCTTTAAGCCGGACTGAAAACTACAGATCTTGCTTCTGTGTTGCCCCCCAGCCTAATCTTTCAATATTGTACACCTGATCCAGTGCTCCTGTCTCTAGTCTCCTTCTGTATGTTTTAGCCAAAGTAAAATGCAGCTGTTTTGGCATCTTAGAACAAAAATGGCAGACATGTACATTTTAAGTAATGGAAATGCATCTGTCTTGTATCTTTACTTCTCAATACTGAAAAAATACTTCTCAAACCATAACCCAGTTCGGTACAGCACGGGGAAACATTCCTAACAAAATTGTACAATCGTTTTATACTCGATATAAAAGTATGCAACACCATATTATTCGGTTAAAAGTCTTTGACCTGAATATTAGACCAACCTGCTTAAGTTTCATGATGTTGAGTGCTTTGATGGATGCCCAAGCTGACAAACAGGGTGTTTATTTCAGGCTTATTCAGGAGGTTATGTTAGCTTTTTTTGGAAGAAATGATGTTGAGTGCTAGATGGCGTGCCTCAATTATTTTACAGCTTATTGTAAAATTAATTGAAATCTGAATTTGATGCAGTGGTAGTTGATGCCAAATGTCTTTGGAAAGATATTTGTGACACCAAGCTTTACGGATTCTGCAAAAAGTCTGGATGATAAAATCCTCTAAATTGTGAACGGACTGAAGTGTATGTAGACATAATTTAGATGTGAAATGTAGTACAAACATAGCTTAATAAAAAAAACAAATCAGACACTTGTCAGACTACTTTGCCTTCTTGAGCTTTTACAGTTTCTGCTCTAGCCACATGCTTCCTCCTACGTTCCTCCCTTAGTTCTTCTTTATGCTTTTATTATTCAGTTCATCTTCGTTTCCCATGGCTTTTAGTTTTAATTTCACCTCATGAAGTTAATGTGGCCCAACTTCAGATGTAAGAAGGTGGAACGAGAGCGGGACCTGGCTGACGAGGCCAATCGACTCTTCAAGCAGGAGTTTGGAGACAAGATTGAGAGTCTGCAGGAAGAGGTGGAGCAGTTACGGAGACAGAGGTACTGAGATTTACTTATTGTTGTGACGTTACATATACTGGTCAACCAATATATTTGGTTTCATAGCTAGTAAGCAGATGTTAGATAATAATAAGAAATGGCACTTAAGCACCAAATCAGCATAGTAGAATGATTTCTGAAGGATCATGGGACACTGAAGACTTTAAGATGTTTGTCACTGATCTCATCACTTATTTAGCAGTGCTTTTTGAACCCCGGCTGAAGCACAAAAGTTAGTTTTCATTGTGATTTAACCAGATGATTGCACAGCCACTGCTAATGTTGTGAAAATTACAAACACGTTACGAAAGACGTTGTCTTTCTTGATATGATAGATGGCTTTTGGAACAAGAGCTCAGGAAATGGCGAGAGAATCCTGGAGGCCACATACCTGAAGCTCTGTTAGGAAAAACCCCACCTCAGAGAGACATGAGACAGCATGTGGAGGACATCAGAAGGGTGAGACCTGCTTTCCACTTTAGTGCCATTCAGTTGCTTTTTCTGAGTGTGCTGTTCCCTGAAATTCAGGCTTTTTGTTTTTATATAGGAGTTAGAGTCTGTTAAAAAAGAAAATGATACATTGCGTACTGCGCTTGAGGAAAAGTCAAGTCCGAGTTCCAGTTTGTAAGTCTTAAATGCTGGATCAGTTGCATACAACTCGATTTATCTACTGCAATGTTATTAAAATTAAACCGTCTTTTTCTCAGGACGCTGTCACATGAAGATGAACAGGTACTCTACATTTAATCAGTAATTCTTTTTTCTTTTTTTTATCAGAGAGGTTCCCAGCAAAAATTTCTTATTTTTATCTTACTTGATAGGACCAGTCTCTTTGTAAAGACACTGACCCTACCATCTGCCCAATGTGTGAAAACCAAGACTCTCTGACTACACCCAAGGTACCCCAAGCAAGGAAATTTTAACATTTAAGCTACAGTACAACAATCCTCAGCAAACTAATCATTGCTTTTTAATAACATGTTATAAAACTTCACTACTGTTCAAAATTTTGGGTCAGTAACACGTATAATGTTACAAAAGATTTCTATTTGAAATAAATGCTGTTCTTTTGAACTTTTAACAATAACAGAATACAAGCGCAACTGTTTTCAACACTGATAATAGTAAGGAACTGTTTCTTGAGCACCAAAATAACATGTCTTTTTAAACATTTCAGAGGCAATGTAAGAACTGCAGTGGTGTGTTCTGTGAGAACTGCATGGCCAATGAACTTCCTCTGCCCTCCTCCATCAACCCTGAACACGTGTGTGACGTTTGCTACTCACAGTTACTGCAGCAGTACGCGTCCTCCCCTTCCTGAGGGGGCGCACATTTCTGAGCACATATTATTCTGGCAGTAGTTGAATGGGTAATCCATGACAAATGACACATCACATTCTAAATCATCAATCAGTACCAGGTATCTCAGTTAAGCAACATATCAGTTATTTTGTTTGCATACAACATTTGCCAAAAAGGGATTATTTTTTACAAGCTCTTGTGGGAAATGCTTTAAAGATTTTCATGATTTCATATAATTCTTGAGGATGAGTGAAGCTGTCCACCAAGTGGATTTATGTGATTCTAGTACTTGAATTGTCTCCATGTCATTCATGATGGCAAGCAGGATATACAATAACAAAATAGTGACGTATTAATAATATAAATATATATATATATGAATTAGGAGATGATGGATTGTAGACCGGATAGTGTCAGCTTTTTGAAAACTATGGCACTAAACAATGCACATGAACTAACATTTTTAACTTTTGAGTCCAAAACTCATCAGTTGTCTAAGATACAATTCAAACAAAACAGCAAATTATGGAGCTCGTCACAGAGAAGACCATAATTGAAACTGAAATAAAATGAAATTATGTACAGAGATAAAAAGGTAGTTTTATGCTTGTGTAAGAATGCATTTTATTCTTAATAGCTGAACAATAAAATTTTTATTATAATTTGGATTTCTCAGGCTAAGTCATTTTATACATACATGCAATATTTTTGGCAGAATTAAAGCTTGGTGAAAGACAGGAATGGCTTGGCGTGTTTGGGTGCTACAATGATAAACAGCACTTACTTACATCTGCATCTCATGTGTTTGAAGGGTTTCATAAAGTTACAAGTACAACAATGGAACGGTTACTGTTTTAAAAACTTTGGACACTTCCTCTACATTATGACTGTTTTGTTAACACTGCGTCGATCTGAAATCAGAAATAAATATCCAAAAAGAAACACAACAGGCAATAATTGTGAAGTTCTCTTTTAATGTTGGTTATATGTATTCTTGTAATATACATTGAATCACTTTCATTAAATGGGCTGGGATGCAATGCATTAAGACAGTTTAAATAGTTTACTTTCATCCTATTGTTCCTCCCTTGATGCTGATGAATTCAGAAACAGCTCAACATATCTCTTCACTGAACAACGGGAAAAAACAAAGCCAGGTTAGTCATGTTTGTATTTAACATTTTGGACCACATTTGGGTTATTTCAGATGAACACCCATATTGCTTACTTATATACTCTCTGTCTTTGGACATGGCTAAAACGGCATCTTGATGTGTTCTGAAGTAGGCATCTGCCTCACCGGTGGGTCGTCCGTCAGGGCCATACTCTACAAGAACCTTCACCAGTCTGATAGGAACGAAAAACTAGAACAGAAATTACACCTCAGTCATTTGGTGTAGATTATACACTGGGCAAGATCAATTGAGGTCTTAAGGAGTTATTCCACTCCTCTTGACCACCTCATTAATCAAAAATAATGCTGTATATTAAATAGAATAAATTTAATATAAAACTTTACCTTGACAATGTCTTCTCCTGTGGCATCATATGGCAGACCTCTCATGTGAATGAAGTTGTGTGTTGTTGATATAGAGCTACTGTTTGCTGTCCACAAAAATACAGATGTTTAGGACTGCACACAGTATACAACATATGTATTAATATTTAAAGCCTGGTTGTAAAGGAACGCTGTAATAAACACCTGCTTTCATTGTGCGTGGCGTGTCCTCAGCTCCTGGTGTGAAAGATGACGTCTCATTTTGCCGCCTTCCATACTGGATTTGGATCTCACTTTTCCTGCTGGGGAAAATCTGAATATACCTGCATATGAGGACAAAACAGCCCTTTGTGAACACAGATCTGAAATGTTAAAGTACATCTTTGATTTTAAATCTTTTGGTATTGAACAGAGGCAAGGCACCCCAGGTGATGTAACTAAAATATAACTAATAGATACCACCATACTTCCCTAGTTGATTGATGTACATTAAGAATTGCAAACACGTTTTGTATTACAGGTTTCTGAAATGGTATGTTTAAATATGCAAATGATCCAATATCTAATTATTTATACAATGTTGAATGTATAAAATCAGGCAAATGATATATGAACAAACGCCTCAGTAAAAAGCTTCAGAATATAGAGTTGAGAACCTCTGCTTTAAAGATATGTAACGTAATTGAAATATATATATACGCAAATAGATGAACTGCAATAAAATAAGCACTAAATATTTTGTCTGAAACCACACATTATAAAAACTCAAAATCTCAAAGAAGTGCATGAAAAAAAAACCTAAAAACACATTTATGTTCCTGAAAAACATTTCTTTTGTGTCAAGTATTACTTGATGAAATACCAACCTGTTTCCCATGACTTCTCTGTCTTTCTTTAGGGCCTCTTCAGCCACTTCCTTAGTGGCGAACTGCACGAAGGCATCGCCTGAGTTTCTTCCTCTCCTGTCCAGGACTATTGCAACTCCATCTTCCACAATCTCCAACTCTTGTTTTGAGAATATTAAAGCACTCAAATGAAGCATATGGCTTTTATCAGTGCAATGACATTCAAATGTCACATTTTTAAGGATCTCACCAGAGAAAAACTGAACGATGTCTTTCTCTGAGCAGCTGAAGGGAAGCCCTCTGAGTCGCACCACTCCATCTGTCTCTGTAAACTGCTGTGTAGCCTTTAATATGGCTTCAGCATCTTTGTTTGTTACCTCATACACTGAAACACATAACATCACTAAATATGAGCACTGTGAACAATCTGGCATATGATAAACACAAAGAATACTGCTTACCTTCAACAAAGCGTTGTCCCAGGTAATGTTTGTGCAGATCCAATGCTTTGCAAACATCCTCCTCGTGCTCCAGCTCAATAAACGCCTGTCCCATCGATTTGCCGTTCCTGTTCTTAATTATATGGATTCCCTCAACTCCACCTCGGATCCTACAATCTACAAAAATCAAATATATAAATAAAATGAAATGTGCACTTCACATCATGAGTAGGTCATATCTAAACATCTCCAAGAGCTGGAAATCCAAATATATTGACGCAACCCTATAAAGCCTACTGAATCGTATTTGATGCATTCATTTCTATTATCGACATTATCAAAATTTTGCCGAAAAATCTGCTACATGCTTTCTGCCACCGATTAAAAGTTCTTACTTTTTAATCAAATAAAAGGCCTTTTAGTATAATTCTAAAAACACCCACCTTTAGTTTGTGGTACATGTTTTTCTGCTAAAATCTTTAATGATTTTTATGAAGTATATATAAAAATAACTTTTATAATGTTATAAATATTTCAAGATTAACATTTTCTTAGCTTAATTGACTTTGATTATTCATACATACATTATTATTTTGAAAAATCATATTCAAATGTGACTATCAAGTATGAAACATGAGGCTTTTGAACATTTTGCATTGCATTATATGTTTTGCTATGGAGCTCTGATCGTAAAACTAAGTGTTTACAAACATCTAACTTAGACATATTCAGTGATACAGAGTGACAACTGATATTACATGCATTTTATCTAATAATCCACTAAAGTGTACCATTATAATATTTTTTATACATATTTTTGCTCAATTTGGAAATCTAAATAAAACAGCTGTTTTTTCCTCTCCTTGAGTGTAAGCTTCATATCCTACTATATCATGGGCCATACAAGTATGTACAATACGTCAAATATGATACAAAAAACATTAAGTATATATGCAAAAACATTTTTTAAAAGATATTCTTTTATATTTTATCTAAAGGTTCAATAAACTGTTCATTTCAAAAGTTAGGTTTTTCTGATTATTATTTCATATGTTTTACATTTTAATATATCTTGAACTGACTTGACCAAGTAGGTGAAGCATGTCTGCAAAGACTTAAGAGACTGTGAAAGATCAAAACAAGTACCAGAAAAGAAGTTCATTAAGTCCTCTGCAGTACATGACCAAGGAAAACCCTTGGCCTGGATGATGAACGCTTCCTTTGCTTGGGGCTCCTCATGAAGGGTGTATTCTGGTAGTTGTGGGTACTCATCTTCCTTAGACGGTGCCTAAAACATTAAAAGAATAGTGTCAGGAGAAATCAATTAAGTTAAACGTCATGTATCTGAACAGTTTTTTTCTGGAAATGCACGTAACTGTCTGTACATAAATGCATCAGGTACCTCAGTAAATAGTCTTCGCTGATATAATGTCCATGGATGCTTGACTTCATGATCTGCAAAATATCTCGCTGACCACGAATGAACATCTCGACCTCGTGCTACTGTAAACTGCGCAGTTTTAACATGATTCAGAGTCTCCACGCATGGAAACTGCTGCTGTCTCCTGATACAGCGAGCAAGAGACAACAAGAGCGCGCTCCTACTGAATGCAGACATCTTGTACCGTACAAAACTTCACCTTAAACCCTAATGTAAACAGACCGTTTTAACGCGGCATGTTACGGCTCAGTTGCCCCAAAAATCACGTTGACCTGCGGCATCAGAGGACAACATGACGTCAACAACACGCGCCCTTGCCCTTGACAGTCCTTTCAAAATAGTAGTTCTTTTTTTAGTTGTAGTTTTTTTTATAACTACAGAGTTTTTTTTATTGCAGTTATAAAAAAAAAAAGATTACAGTACGTACAAAATAAATATAAAATACAGTAAGTACAAAACATACAAAAAAACTTTAAATAATAAACGAATTATGGTTTAATTGGTTAAGAGAAGAAGTAATGTAATATAACGATTCTTAAGAAATAGAAAGGAGTAAAAAAGAGAGAGGGAGAGTGCACACAAATAAAGATACAAGTATATTAAGGAAGAATATTAAACATGGCACAAGTTCTAGATGTTTTATAGCTTTCTTGTTAACAGATGTTGAAATTTCAGTTCAGTTCTTGTTTGAAGATGTTAAAATGGGGTTTACATTTAGTATATTTACATTTATGGACATAAAACTTTCCAATAAATAAAAGGAGGTTTACACAAAAACTTGCATTAAATAAATTATTTATCTTTAGCATAAAACCCAAAAAGAATGTGTCTATAACATAAAGAGAAATCATAAAAAACATTTTGGACAATCAAAGCATTAACATGAACTAAAGGACACTCCAAAAACAAATGAGCTACAGTTTCAAAAGAAATTTCACAGAAAGAACAAGATGTATCAAAGTCACTTTTAAATTTCTGCAAAAACTGCTTGACAGGATAAAATCTGTGAATTATTTAATAAAATATTTATTTAACTTTTTCTTTGTAGTTGTAGTTCAAAACTGCAAAATACGGTGCTTGATTTGGATATTTTTTATTCTTGTAATAAAGCAAATTATTACACCATTTTCTGAAAATTATTTACTTTTTATTAGGATAAAGAATATTTTTGTCAACACACTATTAAGGTAGTATTAGATATTATAAAGACATGTAATGTTGTTAGTAAAATTACATTTTTGCTTTTCATTGTCATTATAATAAATGTAAAACAAATGATCAGAATATTTTCTGGCGAACATTAACTTAATAATAAGTTAACAGCTAGAAGTTATTGTCTTTTACCAATTATTAGATACTGATAAACCTAAAGATAAGCATTTTAATTTAAAATTATTTATATAGCCATTTTTACAATCAATCAACAACAACAACAACAA